GAGAGGTGTTTTTATTGGATCCAAAGCTATTTAAGTTCGATAAATTTAAAAAGATACTGTTTTGTTACTTCAATTTAAGAGTGTTTGGACACAATACATACCCAATAGTATTCGAACACGTTGGCGCAATTTTCGCTTCAAGTATTGACAAGTTCTGCCAGCGATATGTGCACCAAGACCAAAACCACTCACATCAACTTGTGCTAAGTGCCTGAGACATTGCTTTCTTTTCGATTTAACACATTTCCCTTGCACGCCAAGCACTACGTCACCTACCAAATTTGCAACGTATTCAAGGCGTTGGGTTGACACCATTTTATCGGCAACCGCAACTGCTTCAAGACCATTCGATAAACTTGATGTATAGGCATACGTTACGATACATACATTGTTTTTGGATGTCATGGACCACTCTGGAGAGGATTGAAATGAGCTTATTATTACACAGATAATCGTTTCACACAGATGATTAAGTATTTAAACACAGACATTTATTTAAAAACACCAGAAAATATAAAGAGATATAAAATATAGAGTGAGAAAACTTACCACTAACAAATGAAGCAAGTAATTCTATGAAAATAAATTGGAATTCAAATATATGCAAAGTAGCTCAATTTTGATCGAAAGCTCATAAAACAGTTAACAGGTATTGTGGTGTTAAAATAAAATATTTACCATTCGAAGAATCGACAATATTCGTGGCCTCCTGGAAGAATAACGACAGACCTTTTCCATTATCCAGCTGATCAACCAAAGCTGACGGAATGCTTCCATTTACATCGATCATATAAAATTCAGTTTGACTGCAGTGTAATGTGTTTTAGATAGAATTCAGATGGATTAAAAAAGTATTGATTAAATATAAAAAAAAAATCCAAAGTACAAAAAAAATCCAAATCCTTGAAGTACATACGAATTTGATGTTATACACGCAAATCGAATTAGATATCTTTGATATTCCAAGTCATTATTGGACGATGAAGCTAAATTTGAATTGATTCCAGAAGAACTGCCGTGGTTCAGAACAGCATTGCACTCGTTCAAAAATGCTGCACAAATGATGGTGTATAAGAAAATAATCATTTTATCACTTATTCTTTGTCACTTTTCTCCACGTATTTCCAACAAAACTTAAAACAACTAACTCACACTACCGAACTTGAGTTGAATGTCTCTTCTTAAGGATAGTACGATATTTATACGAGATAA